AAAGTAACTGTATGGATTGGATCTGAAGCCAATTCCTCCTCAAAACTAATGTCTCTAACCTTATTTCTCCCCCCAAACTCAACATCCTCAAAGAATGTTGCTGTTCCCGTCTCAAAAATATTCCTTATAGTGGGATCATAAAACTTATAGCCCCTAGAGTGTTCAGAGTATCCAATAAAGTAGCTGCTAACTGTTTTGGAGTCCAATTTCTTTTCATTTCGCCTATAAGGCCTTGCCTCAGCTGGACATCCCCAAATATGTAAATGGTTTAAACTGGGCTTTCGACCAGTCCAAAGCTCATAAGGTGTTTTAGCAACTGGTTTACTTGGTACTCTATTCAGAATGTAAGCTACTGTCTTAAGTGCTTCTCCCCAGAGTGACTCTGGTAAAGAAGAATGAGAGATCATGCTTCTTACCATATCCTTAAGAGTCCTGTTTCGTCTTTCAGCTACACCATTCATGCTAGGTGAACCCGGCATGGTGTACTGTGGGACGATACCGCATTCCTCTAGGTATCTAGCAAATGGTCCTGGACGTTGTTCACCTGAACCATCATATCTACCGTAGTACTCACCACCACGATCAGATCTGACGGTTTTAATTCTTCTGTTGAGTTGATTCTCAACTTCAGCTTTATAGGCTTTGAACATGTCCAGAGACTCAGATTTTTCATGAATAAGATATAGGTGCCCATAACGTGAGTAATCGTCTATGAATGATATAAAATATTGTTGACCATTCCAGGATTCCGTAGGGAATGGCCCACAAATATCCGTATGTATCAATTCTAAGACATCCGAAGATCTGTTGGCACCTAATCTCTTCACTTTGGTCTGTTTTCCCTTGATACATTCAACACATACGTCGAAGTCCGAAAAATCAAGGGAATCCAAAATGCCATCAGACACAAGACGCTCAACTCTACCTTTTGAGATATGACCCAAGCGCTTATGCCATAATGTCGCTGAAGTTTCCTTATTTAATTTACGCTTAGTACCACGTGATTCCACATGCAAGGATTCATTATAAGAAGCAATTGTATCGACCAAATATAGGTTGTCATAAGTACTTAAGTAACCAGTTCCAACAACATTTGAATAAAAGATAAACTGAATTGATTGTTTCAAAATGAACAAGAATAACCTGATTTGTCCAATACAGAAACTGAAATCAAATTCCATCTAAAAGACGGTACTACAAAAGTATCTTTCAAATCCAAATAAGAACCAGTTCCTAACAACAACCTAAAGTGCCCAATTGCTTCCACATCTACCGATTGTCCGTCGCCCACAAAGATGTGTCTTTCAACATCACTTGGCTTTCGGTAGGTCAGGCAACCCTGCATAGAAACACTTATGTGAGTAGTAGCACCAGAGTCTAACCACCAAGTGTTTCTAGGTACTGAAGCTAAATTAACCTCAAAACAGACCAAAGTAAGGAACGTACCCTTAATATCACGCCAGGCGTGATATTTTGTACAGTCCTTCTTTACATGTCCAGGCTTCTTACAGAAGAAACAACTCTGATTATCCTTATGTTGTTTCTTCTCAACTGGACCCTTAGCAGCTTCCTTATCATTCTTCCTTTTCTTGCCCTTATCCTTAGAGGCATAGGCCAAATGAGCACTTTCTGTCTTATCTTGCTTCAACCTGTCTTCTTCTTGCACACAGTATGAAATGAGCTCATTTAGAGTCCATTTATCCTTTTCGCAGTTATAACTGACCTTAAACTGATTGAACTGTGTAGGAAGAGACAACAAAACCAGATGCACTAATAACTCGTCACAAAGATTGAGTTTAAGTGCTTTAAGCTTTGAAGCAATATGAGACATTTCCATAATGTACTCCCTGATATTTCATTTGCCCTTATACTTCATTGAAATCAAGCGAGCTAAAAGCGTGCTTGTTTCTACCTTATCGTTTTTAGCAAAACGCTTCTCAATTTCGGCAAGGAAATCTTTAGCCTTAGTAATCCCTTCGGATTCTATGCCCCTGAAGGCTTCCGGAACGCCGCGCTTAATGATCATAAGACTCATGCGATTTGAACGCTCCCACTTCTCATACTCCTTCTTTGCATCAGGAGTGCTATCCGCATTGAGAGGTTGGGGTTGTTCAGTTCTTAATGCATAGTCAAGATCCATGCAGCCAAGAACATTTAATATGTTCTCTTTCCAAACCTTGAAATTTGTCTCATTTAGCATGGGAATTGAGTTGATGTTAGCAGAAATTGTTGCAGCAAATGCATTAGCTGAAATAAAACAAAAATGCTCACATCAATATCCATAATTATTAATTAATAAAATTCAAATAATAACAATCCCCATCCAAGATATCGGGCACAACATTAATATCAAGTCTTTGGACAGTAATATTAACTTGTAAGTGATACCTTGTTGCAATGATCAAACATTAACAATAACTTATGTCAAATAATGAAACTATCTTTGGATCGATTTATTATTCACATGTAAACCTTATAATTGTCGCACGCTTATCATCGCAGATGTGTATACAGTCTAAATAAATATTAACCTTCCTTTGGGCTGATTAAATATTTACACGAAAGCATACACATAAACATCTCACATTCCTCATGAACAATCTACACAAGAGAGGTTACTTTGGCAACTTCTTGTTTCAATTAATCAATTGGAGTGAGAGACAACCTTAATACCTTAGTGTCATAATATTTGAATTAAATAATTGATTAAAAACCGAATTAGATTTAAATTAAAAAATTTAATTTAAATCAACTGAATTTCCAAAAAACTTAATTGGGGTCTCACAGCTTAATTAGGGCCCATAACTTAATTGAATAAATTAAGTATACCAAAGTGGACCCATGAAAAGCTGAGGCTTAACCATAGTGAACACGAAGTTCGCTTAACTTCGAACACGAGGTTCGACTGTATTGAGTACGAGACTCACTTAAGCACGAACGCGAGGTTCGTCTGAGAATGAACGCGAGGTTCGTTTGAAAAATGAACGTGAGGTTCAACTTGAGAACGAACGCGAGGTTCGTTAAAAAAAAATGAACGCAAGGTTCGACTGAAGCTCGAACGCGAGGTTCGACTGAAGAACGAACGCGAGGTTCGACTGAAGCACGAACGCGAGGTTCGACTGAAGCTCGAACGCGAGGTTCGACTGAAGCACGAACACGAGGTTCGACTGAAGCACGAACGCGAGGTTCGACTGAAGCTCGAACGCGAGGTTCGACTGAAGCACGAACGCGAGGTTCGACTGAAGCTCGAACGCGAGGTTCAATTGAAGCTCGAACGCGAGGTTCGACTGAAGAGCGCGAGGTTCGACTGAAGAACGAACGCGAGGTTCGACTGAAGCACGAACGCGAGGTTCGACTGAAGCTCGAACGCGAGGTTCGACTGAAGCACGAACGCGAGGTTCGACTGAAGCTCGAACGCGAGGTTCGCCTTAGAACTGAGCACGAGGCTCACATTAGAACGAACGCGAAGTTCGTTGAGCGCGAGGCTCACTTGAGAACGAATGCGAAGTTCGTTTGAACGCGAAGTTCGGTTAAAATTGAACGAACGAGAGGTAACCACCTCCTTAATATTCGCCACGTTTCACGCACGAACCCTTAGGGTTTCAAACTGAAACCGCCGCCATTAAATCAAAAAACAGATCTAGAATCGAAAAATTGAGTTTTCTTGATCCAGATCCAAGAAAAAAAACCACCGAAAAATCCAAAAAATTCCAAAAAGTTACTATTCACCGGTGATTTTTCTGTTACTGTTCACCCGAAAAAACTTTACTGTTCATCTGAAAACTTTTCGTTACTGTTCATCCGAACAAAAAATTTACTTTTCATCCGAAAAAACAAAACTGAATCTTTAACCAGAGATTTAAGATCAGAAAACCCAATAAAACTTA